AAGTTTTTATTTGAAAAAGAACCACCCAAGGTCCACGTGTCTGGAGCATTCAGGAACCAGAGGTTCCCACCGCCTGACAATAAGATCTTCCTGCCGATTATAGCAGCCGCTAGAGGGATGAGTTGCTTAGGCCACACTAATACTGGAGAGTCACTAGTGTCCTATTTCAAGACATGCCCTCTAGTGAACCTAAAAGTTCCCACCAATCAGATAGTCAAAACCTCGCACAAAAACCTCATTAACCTACAGGATGCCTTTCTGGAGGAAAACAGACTCATATTTACCTATGACAATTAGGGCATCTCCTTACAGGAGATCCTACATATGCACAACATCTTCACATTTAACAAGAGTGCAGTTGCTACCATCTGCAAGGAAGTTCAACCCATCAAAGCCCTTCTATTCACGCACATTGCGGTTTGCGGACTTGACTTAACTAACTTAAAATAAGATTCTAAACAGCTTAAAGTACTTACATAATAAGATCTGAGTTGTGCATAGGAGTCTGTCGTGTCGCACTGTTATTATAACAGACAAAGGTCAAGTCAAGATTAGTATAAGGTCACCTGATTCATTGGGTCTATGGGTCACTAACTACCTTTCCTTCTAGCTAATATTGGTGAAAGCATGGCTCAAGGACATAAAATAGACAACAGACATCTAGACATTAAAGGAATTCTACAGATCGCAGGGGCACTCCTTCAGGTTATACCCAGAAATAGGTCTGAGAAGGTGATTAGTGCTCAAGCGGAAAGTTTTGTGAGGACTCCAACAGATACCACTGTTGATAAGCTTTTATCAGTAGGTACTTGGCACAAGCTCAAGTCGATTAGACAGCTAACAATATATTAGCACCGCTTTCTGGAGGAGGGCGGTGATCAGTAGTACCTGCAGCCATTTGCAATTTTGTGCAGGGTCCTGCACAACTGTTCTAATAGTTGTTGATATTCCCCATCAAGGAATCAATGGCATGATGACTTGAGTCAAGCGCTGCGATCGTGTCACTTGCGTAGTATGATTGCCTTTTCTGTCAGAGCGAGTTATGTCACCATCCGGTGCCTTGAGTTATATGACACATTGATTTAAACATCGTCCAAGACTATAACTTCCTTACTCACCTATTGAGGACCATTTATCTTTCTGCTGCCTTTAGATGCGTCTTTCTACCTCTTGATAATGAAACTGTAGACGTCCTACCAAAGTCGGTACCAATAAGCTAATACCTATGGTGTTGAGTCTTGATATAGATCAGTTGATGAAAACCAACGCATCAATGATTAGGGCTAGAGTTGCATTTGGTCCGAGTCCAACCCTAGTTAGAACTGAACCGCTGTGGTTTCGAGTCTAAATTTTTTAGAAATTAAAATCAAACCTGATCCATTCTAATTTGGTGAGTGTTTAACAGCAAAATCCACCCCTAGGCCTACCAACCAGGTAGCCTAATGATATACCGGTCAGGTATACAATCAACACATGATATAATAATCCATCCAGGATTAAGGTCAATCTAAGGATAATATAAGAATAATAATAGTAGAGATAGAAGCAAGGCCTATTAAGTATATATACCTAATAGTAAGAGAGTAACTAATGAATCAGAGTAGTGAACTTATACTTAAGTAAAGTACTATTATTAAATATAAAGAACTAAACTAAGAGTGCTAGATATAATAGTAATAAGCATTCTTATATAGTTCCTCCTGTCAGTCCTATCCATAAGGCTATTATGCAGTCCTATCATGGACCTTTATTCGTAGTCTCTAGTGGTTATCTCTGGCTTTGGTCCCTGGAGGACCTTTGATTGTTCTTAGCATCAGGGAGTCCAGACCTTTTAAAAAAGCTCAAACGGCCTGATCAAGTCCATGCCATACTATCAACAGCGTCGTGGTGCGCTAGGTTGCGGCTCCCTGCTGGACACTGCTTGGGCTATGATTGGAACTCCTATAACTGTAAAGCACAGTTGATTAGACTGTCAATAAGTGCCAGCTTCTCTCTACTATTGGTCGATTTGTTAGTAAGAATAGCCCACAGCACTTTTCTATTAATGTTCAGCCCTAAGCATGCCACATTTAGCTGGATGATGCTGGAATTATGCTTATATAGGCATTTTTTTTTATCATCTTCCGCATATTAGATTAGGCATGATGTATAAATAAGATAACTTTAGAGCAAGAAGCGGCAGCAGGAATGTGGCCTAGACTATACTAAAAGCACGGGCCGAGGTAACGTCGGGCTTTTGGTTTCAGGGTTGTATGAAGGTGGACTGAGCTGAATTGCAAGTTCACCTACCTCAGCACTTGAGATAACACATAGTTGTTAAATATTTATGTCTACAACAGTACAATCCCTCCACTTTGATAGATTGGGACACTTCTTAGCTTGTGGAATTCGGACATTCTTTTTCTGCTTATTACGGCCAGTGGGGAAGGTCTCCAACCACACGGGTCCATAAGTCTACATCGCTTTTCAGTCTAAGTGCAACTCTACTACTCCGCACTGCCTCTGCCTTTCAATGAGCCCGCGGCAGAGCTGGCCCTCTATTATTATGTACTATCTTGTATATAAATTCTAAACCACTCCATCCAAGCACATACAACCAATAGGGTGTGGAAAACAGGGCTTCCCCATAGCGAACTTTGGCAGCGAAGAGGCCATTGTGCTTAGAAAACCAACAGTTACCTGTACAAGGTTCATCTGCTGGTTTTCTTGTAAGTAATTGATTAATTATGGTGCTTCAGATGCTAATTTTCAGCATCTACAATTCCAATGTAATGGCTGGGCAGGACAAGCGAGCAGCGACCTCCGCAGCGGGGTCATCCGCAACGACCAAGTTAGACTGTGGGTATAGCCCTCCATGAATTGCTCGTAGTTGCCATGATATTGCCCTCTCTTTTTCCCTTTCTCTGTCTGGAAAGCGTGTTAAACTTCCCGTCTTATAGCTTGTACCGTACTCCACCCCATCTGGTGAGATGACGTCGGGGAAACGGGTACAAGACGAGAGCGATACGCCAGAATACTGTTTCCTTACTTCCAGGCTGACATCAATCATAGCTCAGTCGACGCGGCTTGCAAACTTGACTTCTAGGGTTTTGAGAGCTTCTCCGTCCAAAGGACTTGCTGCCCCTGTTCTCTTTTCGATTCGGTCGCAGGGAGTTGTTCCATCTGAAGGACTTGCCGATTCTGGCTAACCGTGATAACCGAGCCCCAGGCCACTATATACAATTTCAAGTATGAAATTGTAAACGCCTTCACCTTCGGGGATTTGGATATCAACGAAGGACAAAATTTGCTCCCTGGCTATTTCGGTGATATATTCCAAAGTCAAATGTTTCCAGCGATCCTCTACAGAAGCACCCATGCCCAGACCTTTTCGTTTTAGTGCAAGATCAATCAGGTCCTGGATAAAAGACCATGATCAAACTTGGACATTCGAAGAGTCGATCTGGGTGGAATGAACGGCCGTACTCTGCGATGGAATATTTGTCGGCGCTGTGTATAAGCTGTCCGTAAGAAGCATATTGGATATTGTAGCCCTTAAGGATTACATTGTTGCTCCGATAGTCGTCTGTGGGTATAAACCTTCGTGCTCGAGGATTCCTGACTTTGTTATAGTGCGAGGTGAATTCGACGATAGCCTTAGCAAAGTCGTCTTCCCCGACCGGGATGTGAACGGATTTGTGTAATTAAAGTTTGGTTTTAAGGGCAACACTCCTATCGGCTACAGTTTCATCACGGTATTTTTCCTCATGCTGGGTGTAGAGAATAATGGTATTGCTCCTATGGAGGTTTGTGCATCTCATAAATACTTTTTGCTGGGGGCCGCCTTTCCTGTCGTGTATGAACAAAAGTTTCTTGGAAAAGCTGTTGATACGCACCAATATTCTTCCATCTGCCCGAATACCTACCATATAAGAAATATGCAGAAGCCAGCGGATGGAACTTGCTATCAACAGCCGGTTTGGCCAGTGTGGTGGTGGTGGTGGTGGTGGGTGCGGATACCAAGAGATATGCTCCCTTTCCGCAAAAAGAAAAAGCAACGAATGGAAACTATTCTGAGTCATTCCTTGGTCTGGAAATGTTACTTCAAGATCCGCAGGAAGGCTATGAAGCTGCTCCAAGGCTGGATGAGGGCGTGCAAAATGACCTGGCAGGCACGCTCCTTGACCAAGGGAGTGCTCCTGCTCTATTCCTACAGTAGGCTTTGGAGGGTGGCGTTTTAGGAATGCGCGTGATTTGGGCGGAGTGTCATTTGGCTAATAATCTTCAATAGACACCCTACATCTTTCACTATGTTCAAGATTAATATGAATGTGTTACTCAACTATTATTATTTTTGACTATTTTGCACATTGAGACAACCAATTGATTCATTAAGTAGCTGTTGGTGCCCGAGGAGAAAGGGTTTGGGGATTGACAACTACGGGCGGGGACCATCGGCGGGGATCACTGATCCCCACTTACCCCATAAATAAATAATCTTATAGAGCAGACGCTTGGCAGCCGCGTTTATCATAAACTAAAGCAGCTTACGCAGTAGTGCGTCATGCATGGGTAAATCCTTTGGCCAGAATATCAAATTAGGTCTGGCGTTGGCCACCAATGAGATAGGCAGATTCTCGCCACTCTCCCATGAGAAGATTATTGCCAATTCTCTAGAAAGTCTCTGGAGGCTCTTTGAATCCAGAGCCTCCGCTGTCAATGCTGTTCTTTGTAGCAGTCGCAGATGTGTTAATGCCTGAGCTAGATCCTTGCGCATTAGAGTACATATTACCATTATTGCCTAGCAACCCTTCATTTGAATAAGACCTAAACATTGAAAGAAAGAAATAAGATAGCAAAGCGGAGCGTTCAGAGCATAATTAACACACAGAGAAAGCAATATTGACCGAGGAGGATAGGCCAGGAATAGGAATACATCACAATTTACCCTTTACCCTGCCTCTCCCCATAAGACATCACTCCCGCAACATATCCTGCAACATAACTCCCCGTTTTCTCTATCATACTGCCTGTCGTCTTCCCCACCTCTTCTTCAAAGGTATCCCTGCCGTCTGAAAGGCGTGGACTATATAACCAGCCGCTCCCTCTGGCGTTCGCTGCACAAAGAGCACCCCCATCGAGACATAGAAGACGGCGACAATACCAGCAAGAGCCCCCTGGATCGCCTGGATGATTTTACCACGCGATATATACAGGGAATTACCAAGGTCTCTTTGCTCCCCAGATGCAGAGGCGTTAAGCAACGCATTCATGCCCTGTAGAGAGCCAAGGGCGGTCACTAGTGCGAGGGCAAGTGAGAAGGCACTCAATGTGATAGCTATCACTAACATTGCCTTGTATGACTTCTTCCTGGATGTGCCCGTGCGAGCAACGAGGAGCATAATCCCTGAGGTGAAAAATAGAAGGACATGGACGAGAGGAGGTTCACAGAAGAAGACATTCTCTTGGAGGTGTTTGGCTTGTGGGAGGGTGGTGTTTAGAAAGGACCGAACGTGGGATTGGGCACCAGAAGAGTTAAGGGCTAGAGGCTCCCAAAGGTCTTCGCTTAGGTTGTCCAGATCTTTCCGGCGCATGTTCGAGACGCAGTGGGTGGATGTTTGTGCGGAGGAATTGCCATGGGGAGAGGACACCTTAGCTGCTTCGGTGGCCGATAGACATCCTCCTACGTACAGTTAATTGGGACGGGTCTCTTCAATGAAGGAAGATTTGGCTCTTTTGTCCACTCACCAAAGTAGCCCACACGAAGTGAGATATCGTATGTCCCGTTTGTTGAGAGTTCAGCGAGGTAGATTTCATTAGCATTTGCCGTTGTCGAGACGCAGCTAGTCATGATATAAACTGGATGCCGTTAGAGACACACCGTATCACGCATGTAATTGATACTTACGACCCAAGACGATGGCCACCAGATAGGAGAAAACCGCTAGACACACGAGTAGACATGACGAAGTTTTTCCTTTTCGGTTACCTACTACCGGGACTCCGTTAGTGTTATTCTCAAAATGTTTCAGTCGCTACAAAAGAAAGTCAGTTCTCTTACTTGGTTTCTCAAGAACTACCGTCTGTGGAATAGGCGCATATGTCGGTGCATACTGAGTGTTCGCGGGATAAGGATGAGGAGGAGGGGCAAGGTGAACTTGACTAGTGGACGAAGTTGGCTTTTTCTTGCCAGTGGTCTTCTTTCCTGTCTTCTTTACCCCAGTCTTCTTTGCCCCAGTTTTGACCTTCTTTCGTGGAAGTGTTGAAGAGCTGGAGGTCTCCATGGTAAACAGTAGGTAATGGAATGGAATAGAATAGCTTCGCAAGCTGTCTGTGACCAGAGGCACACTCACGACTTTGGATCAGTTTTCCAGGGCTGTCGTATCCATTTATCTACCCGGTTGAACTATAGAAGGGGCCCTATCGGCTGAGTAGTAAGCCGTACATTTCCATTAGACTTTGGTGGGAAATGGGTTCGCCCCGAAAGTCTATACCTCGTATCCAGCCTTGGCAGACCCATAGTTTGTCGATCGCACACCGCGGCATCCAATGAGGACAAAGCACGCTAGCACTAATGAATAAGTACCGACAGTAGCCTTGTCAGTAGCCTTGTCACCTTGCTTACCTTCGAAAAAAGCAATATCAAAAACGAAGACTCTCAAGTGCCCAAAAAGAAAGGTGAGCTGTGTTCAGCTTCAGCACATGCAACTTGAACCTGTAGGCCCAATTAGCCTTCTTACATATGTGGTGGCTGATTTAGCCTGGGGCAAAATGAGGCCACCAATACTATGCGACGAACAGGAATTAACCTATATTTAGCATGACGTTGTACCTCGATATGCAGTCTGGGCTGCCATTTATAATACAACAAGCCCGACTCAAGGGTTTTGGTTTATTCGACGTGATTTGCTCCTGCTACGTATCGATACACCGTAGATTATGGTTACTGTCGAAGACGGGGTAAATGTAGCCAAAAACTAAACTCTGGACTCGAAAGCACCTGCAAAGTCCACTCGAGAATCTTAGGCATCGACTCTAATGGCACCCCGGAAGATTCAAGATCACTGAAATTGTGGCTGATGCATGCATCGCCCAGTTAATTTAAGACCATATTATCTTAGGTAGTGCCGTTATTAATGCTATTCTGCAGATATGGCAAAACTCATCACACTAATCCTAGCCTGACAAACAGGACAAGTGCATTTGGCCCCTTTGTACTCCCTAGAACGGTGGAGGCTTAGCACACTGGTGTGGTGGCACTTAACTCAGCCTTGGACATCCATACGGCTCAAGAGAAAGGAGCGCACCCCCCTTCCCCCCCACCAAAAAGCAAATCGGCCCCAGCGCGTGCCTCCATACCACTCTCCAAAATCTTCCCTCTGCCTGAAGGTTGAGCCCGTCTTAGCGCCGCGAAGTCCATTTGTCACTACATATCCCGCCCATGCCCTTGTATAGGACTTGGATACGCAACCCTTCCCTGCCAAATGTTTTATTGAAGTTTACATACGCCAGAATCTCGCCATGTCTGCATATACCACACCCATTCCTCTTAGCGGACGAGGCCTAACGGCAAAGCTTGTGCGCCGAACAGAGATTCCAAAGTCCGATAAGGATGACGAGACCAGGGCCATTGACATTGTAGCTGTCCACGGCCTGACCCCCTGGGAGTCCTACACTGGCTCTTCCTTCTGGCTGCGCGATTTCATTGCAAAGGACATTCGAGGGGCCAGAGTGTTTACATTTGATTACGACGTCAAGACAGTTTGGTTATGCGAGGCACCACTGGAGGGCATACAGGACGCGACCGGGGCTCTGCTTGCTCAAATTGCTGCTATTCGGGAAGAAGTCCCAGCGGCACGGCCTCTAGTGTTGATCTGCCATGGCTTCGGTAGCTTTATCGTTGAATCAGTGGGTCTTTGTTTCAGCGACACACTCCTCCCATTGTGGTATCATGTAGCTAACACATTATGGTATGAAGTGCCTGAATGATGCCTTTACACACTTTCCAACTATATTCAATTGCACTCTGGGGGTCATCTTCCTTAGTACACCGCAACGCACGTCACCTGAGGTCCCCTGGGCGACGCTTTTGATGCGTTGCGCGAGCGACGGTATACCTCTAGGGTCGGCCCAGGTTGAACTGTCATCTTTGGGAGACCTTGGTTGGGCAGAGAGCAGTGTAGTTGCTCTGCGCGATATCTCCGAGGGCTTCAAGGCAAAGGCAAAGGCAACTAAGAAAATGAAATTGCTTTTCTGCTACGAAGATGTTCCGACGCCACCACAACAAGAATGTGTAAGTTTTAGTTCGCAGGCTCTTGCGTGAGGGGTGTGAAATGCTGATCCGCCTATAGAGTTTGAACGAGTACTGCGCAGCCCTTGGTCTTCGCAGCGAGAAGGTCGAGTTGATGGTGGGTTGCAGTCACCTCTCCATGGCAAGTTTCCTAAGCAGGAAGGATGAGAACTACCAAAGGATTGTCTCTGTCATCAAGAAGATTCGCAAGTCGGCATTGAAAGATACGGAATCCACTTTTACTTTGGAACTTTCTAAATCTGGGCGGCGTAAAAACGTTCAGAAAATTCAGAACCCCCGGGACATTGAGGAATCTCAGGCCATGAATGTACATGCCCTCCCGAGTACCTTGGTCGTGGGTCAACAGAATGTCAGCTTCCAGAACACAGTTACCGTTACCCACATTACCCCCAAAGTCACGCCATTCTCGCCGGTGCCAATGCATGCATCCAGTGCTTGTGAATTAAGCCATGGCACGTTGCCGGGTACCATGATCACGCTCACTCAGCCAGCGCCAGCCTATGGCAGCATCCAGGATGCGTCAAGGTCCTCTATCCCGACTCGTCCCGCTACTCCACAACTCACGCAATTTGGTCCGAACTTGAAGATTCCTAGGCGTCCTGTTGGCCTGCCCGCTAGGAAGCCAATATTTGTACCGCATTCTACGTCTGGTCAATTGGGACAGGAAAAACAACACTCTCAACGCCCACTCACCAACATTGCGCCAATCACTGCGCCAGAACCGAATTCCTCTGCCAAGTCAGGCAAGGAGCCCAGAAGGCCGCACGAGGCCGGTCCTCTGGCTCCCGCAAAACTACCATCGAAACCTGGAAATGCGGCACTCAAGCCACCAGTAGTCCATCAACTGGTCGGTAATAAAGGCATGCTCTCCGCCTCTCTCAATAGTTACAGGCCAGACCAGGAAATGCATTATCCAACTGCCCATGGCATACCAATCGGTTCATCCCAGCATATCGCCCCGCAGCCTAGTTCAACCACCTACCAATATCCTCCAGTCTCGCATCCGCTTCCTACCAATCATCCTATGGCGCATACAACCGCAGCAATGCCTGTTCAAACCAAGCCCCCAAAGAAAGTGGCAAAGCCGCCAAAATTACTCTCAGACGCGCCAAGCACCAAACCTCCAAAGCTACCAGGGACGAAGTCGGTGCCCCAACAGACCCGTTCCCAGAAGATTGAGCCAGGAATTAGACCCACTCCGATTTCGACTACCGCAGGTGGAAGAACCATTCCCCAAATCCATCCAGCGCTTTGTTCAACCGCTGCACAGCAGAGTCTACGGGAACCGCAGCTACAGCCCAGCTTTACTCCACCCCCCAAGAAGCCCGGGCTTTTCAGGAGGCTGCTCTCGGCTGGCAAGGTTTCGCAACCTCCCCCCACCCCAACAGGCTCCAGAGTGCCCTCTGGATCACAAGTTGGTCTACACCAGCCGTACAACACGTCCAAACCTCCGTCCAGGCCTCCCAGTTTAGGAGGCTCTGGAGCGCCCCCGGGATCACAAAGTGGTCCATACCAGCAGTACAAGCCGCCCAAGCCGCCTAAGCCGTCCAGGCCGACCAGCTTAGGAGCCCATGGAATGTACTCGGGACCACAAAGTGTTCCATACAAACCTCGCTTGCCGCCGTATGGCCCGCTGAGACCTGCACAAGGCCCACCCATGCATGGCCACAGTCCTCATGGCCATTACGGGCCAGGGCAGCATCAGCAATGGGCTCATGGTAACCAATGGGGCCAAGGCCATGGTTTCTATAATGGACCAGGTCCAACTCCTACTCATATTACCAGTAATTGTCTGATGATGCCAATAGTTCCAGTTGGGCCTATAATTCCAGAGGAGCCAACGGGCCCCGTCGAGCCGGTAGAACCAGCTGAACCAACAGTTCCAGTTGCCCCAACTGTTCCAATTGAGCCTACAGTTCCAGTTGAGCCTACAGCTCCAGGTGCGGCTAGCCTACTTGCGGCTCCAGGTCCAGTCAAGCCAACAGGTTCAGGTGTCCCAACAGGTCCAGCCGGGGCTACAGGCCTAATTGAGGTGACAAGCCCAGTCAAGCCCGCAGCTTCAGTTGAGCCAACATGTCCGCCTACAGGTCCAATTGAAGCCACAGGCCTAGTTGCTGCTACAGGCCTAGTTGCTGCTACGGGCCTAGTTGCTGCTACGGGCCTAGTTGCTGCTACGGGCCTATCCAAGCCAACGGACCCAGTCCAGCCTGCAGGTCCCCTCGAGCCTACAGATCCAGTCAAACCGATCGGTCCATTCGAACATACAGGTCCGGTTGAGCCTACAGGACACAGCTTTACTTATGATGAAAATCATGGACAGACCTGGAAGCCTGGTTATAGTCATGATCTGGGTTATCATCCCGAAAGCCAAAGTAGTCAAAGCGGAAATATAGCCGCTGGTCTTACAGGTCTAGCTATAGGAGCGGCTAGTGCAGCTATTCTGATGGCCTCTATGAACCATGGCAACGGTGACAATGAGCATAACGTCGAAGAGGTTGAAGATGACAGTGGAGACGACAGTGATGAAGATGAAGGTGATCATGATAGTGAAATGGGAAATGATAGTGGTGAAGAGGGAGGAGAACACMAAGATTATGACAATAGTGATGAAAATGGATGGGGAGATGATAGCGATGAGGATAGGGGAGAAGATGAAAGCAAAGAAGGCAGTGATCAGGAGGAGGGAGATGAAAGTGAAGAAGGCAGTGATCAAGAGGAGGGAGATGAAAGTGAAGAAGGCAGTGATCAAGAGGAGGGAGATGAAAGTGAAGAAGATACTGATCAAGAGGAGGAAGATGAAAGTGACGAAGATACTGATCAAGAGGAGGCAGGTGAAAGTGAAGA